GTGTAAATTGAAATTGATTTTATTAATCAACCAACTATGTTAAACAAGCTTCTGAAAGGTAGGTAGTACCGCTAACGACCGCTAGGTGACGTGATGTGGTGGTAGTCGGTGGGGGAGTGTGCTAATCGAAATGCCCTGGAATTTTGTTTTGTTTGAAGCAGAGTAGGCGACTACTATATTTAAAAGAAAAAATGAGAATCTACTGTGATGGTCGAAAGAGAAAAGATAAAAAAAAGATTTTCTTCTCAAAAGTTGGTATCAGAACTTTTGTTTGTTTAAGGTGCGATCGTCACTAGATTTTTACCTCATTAAGCCTGGTATTTTTCAAGTTTTGCTTGTGTCCGGGTCTTATTTACTATATATGAAAGCAAGATAGAACGCCATAGGCGACGGCTTCGACTGACAGATACCAATGTATTCAGATATCAATGTAGTTTTTCCTTCATATTTAGTTTTCACAGCCATGGTTAGGCAATCCTTGCTGGGAATACCATCCTGCGATTCCCCGCCACAACCAACTGGTCATATCAGTTTGAGACAGAACCGATGTCATCGTTATTATTGATGCAGCTCTCAGCTTACTTTGCAATTGTCAATTGTCAAACTGATTGAGTGAAAGGCAAATGCTCAGTGGGACAACAGGAGGTTATGGTTGGGGATGTCTGCTACTGCAAGTGTTTGAATCCACACTTTTGCCTTGATAAACTGCAGTGCCAGCTGACGGACTGAATGAGTGACTCACTGCATGAACAAGTGACTGACTGTCCCATCTCTGACTTGACGGACCGAATCGACTGACTAAGATAAATGGCAAAGTCGTTTCAGATTGGCAATACATAGGTGCCGGGGAGCGTATCTTTTAACGCTCAACCCCCGCCAAAAGCCGCAGTGGATTGAAAAGCAGCATTAATCTTCATTAGCCAGTTATCAAGCTTTATCGGGAGGATTACAAATTGTATTGTGCACTCATATACATTCTTATCAATAATCGCCCCGAAAACCCATTTACTCGTAAAAAGGTTTTCATTAAAAACTATTATGGCTAAATGTAAACCGGATTTCCTTATTTTTAAAGGGTATTTACTTTTGAAACATGGGTTTACTTTCTTAGAGTTCTGATAAGTTCAATAAAATATTTATACATGGTTAAATGGATTTTGGCCGTCACAAACTTTAGCGATTTGCGACATAAGCAGCTGGCGGCTGTGATATTAATTACTCATAACTTTTAAGTTAATGATCCGATTTTAACCGTTTTTGGAATGTAGATGGGTATTTTTAAGTATATCTAAACGTCACGTTACACGTTTAGAAATTTAATTATCAAATATCAAACGACTTGGCTAGATCGACTAGGCAGTCAGGATTACTGTCAAGAATTTATATGCTTTACAAGGTCAGAAAAGCTTTTTCTTACCTGCAACATTCTTGTCGATGAATACACTACTCTCTTTTACTTCACAAGTAACGGGTATAAAATAGGGGACTCAAATTATGTAATTCATGTAGTTGTATGTTGTATGCTCTATTCCTGTTGGCAACCACCGCGTTTAGCTGACGCTTCTAGTTCCAGCGATTCCGCTTTAAATGCATTTCCATAGGGACCCCGTCCCAAGACGGTGGCAGTTTGCAAATTTTCGCAGTGTCCGCAGGACCAGGGAACGGTCCATGGAAAAGGGACTGGGAGGGTGGCAAAAAGCATCAATTGCAACTTTTGTGCGGCATTTGTGTCGCTGATTTAAGGCAGGTCCCCACGGTCACAACGTGGGTAGGCGTATTTTGTTGCACATGCATCGCATAAATATTGCACAGCGCATCACACTTAATTGCAAGTTGTGTAACTTTGTCGTCGTTCCCCTGGTCCATTGTTGGTTGCCGTTGCCGGTTAAGAGTTAAGAGCCGCGTCGGGAACGGCTTGACTTTTATTCGTTTATTTTACCGGCTGCGTGAATTCTTATGTATACCAGAACCGTGCCTAGGAATTGGTTGAAGGGGAAGGCACGAGTTCGAACCCACGAAATGACAATGTATATTGTATTCGTCCGAAAGTATTTAAAAGGTAGAAACAAAACAAAATCCCATTTACACTTTTACAAAATCTTTAAAAATGTGGGTAGATAGATTATACTGTTACTGGCGTTTAAGGGCGTTAAAATGGGCATGGATATTTTTTGTACGGCAATCGGTAGATATTGACGAAACCAATACATTTCAGTTCAAATTTTTGTTCTATAATCAAAACTGTGACCACCAGGGCTGATGTGCTTATGTTTAATCCAACACTGTAGACTTTAACTTAACCACAGTTTTGGGAACCTACACCTGAAATCCGAACTCTCTAACCTTTAGTTTTCGAGATCGCAGCGTTCACACGGACAGACGGACTGAACGTCAGGGCTAGATCGACTACCATAGTGGATTGTTACATACTTTTCCCCGAACACAATATACTCTCTTACTCTACGAATTTAAAAGTGTAACTGTAAGTATTTAAAAAAAGACCTTCATTCGCTTTTTCTGATTGCCTTTTAAATTGAGTTTAAAATGTTTCTTATTTTAAGAACGTTCGTTTTAAATTTGAGAGCGTACGTTTTAAATTTGAGAGCTTTCGTTCTCAAGTTATTCGTTTTTTCTAGGTGTACATACATATATTCTCCATAAGGATTCCTAGCCCAGACGATCAAGTCTGTCCGTATGAAAGCTGAGATCTGGGAAACTATTAAAGATAGGATGTTGAAATCAAGCATACATATGCCACGGGGGGATGCAGACCTAGTTTGTTTCGGAGAGACGGATACCCACTCTAACGCCTCTTAACTTTTGCCCTGTTTCAATTATATGTAGATATTCGAGATGTTAACATGACAATTTGTAAATATCGACACATTATCGATACAGATATTTTTTAAATATCAGAAAACCCAATATATAAACTAACAAGGTTAAATGCTTAAGCGAAAAAGATGAGTCAGGAACAAAAGATCGTTAAATTAGCTATTTAATCCATTTATATAATATACGAAACTGACGGTATATGTAAACACTTACAAGAATATACCTTTGTCCTTTTTTTGTCCTGTTTTAATTTTTGTTTTACTTTATTCTGATTTTTTTGGCATCTTTAGAATAACACATGTCAAAGTGGCAGTGGAAATGTGAGGCCTGACACGTGCTTAAAACAGCAAGCAACTTGTTGAGTGCACATTATTATGGTGAAATACTAAAGAACATTATAACCACAAGCATCATCCTCAATGAAACGGGCCTTATGCTATTTTTCCTTTCACCCATCTGTCTATTGATTTGCCCGTGGCCAATTTCTAAGCAGAACTCTAAGCCGTACCAGTTGTCAATCATTTCCTTACAGTTTGTCACACTTTTTCAGGGCGCACAGATTTTCATTAATAACTTTGTTGACATTCTCAACAAGTTAAAAAACTTTTGGAAGCATTTCGCTCAGCACTTGTCAATCAATTGTCAAGAAAGAAATTGTATGCCAGTCAGACGGGCCAAAAAATATGCAAAAGTAACGAGCAGAACTTTATGTTGCACAACTTTGTGTGACAGTTGCCCAAGGCAGAAGCATGCGGGAGCAGTGGCTAGCGGATTAAGCCTGATGTTGCAACTAAATTAGGAAGTTGGCAAGACTTTGGCGGGAAGGTGAAAAAGGGGCCACACTTGCCGCAAAAAGTAATTTCATGCCTACGTTAACTTTCGTCTACAATTTTCCGGCATATTTTGGATAGTTTCATCTTCCCCGCCTGTAACCACCTACAAAACTCTTATTTTCCTTGAACCTTTGGCTCGGTTTTCCATTTCCTGTTTTCCTACAAGCCACAGCAAACAGCCACGGAATTGACTTGATGAACTTTTGGAAAATTGCAAATTGCTGCAGCAAAATGCCAGCGGCTCTCAAAACCATGTTAATCTCTATTTCGCTATATATTTGACTGCACGGTTCATGCAGTTATACCTGAATAACATTACAAGCCTGTATGAATATCGAGTAGTAACAAAATGAAATGAAAGCAAGGAAGAACGCTATAGTCGAGTACCTCGACTATCAGATACCCGTTACTCAGCTAATGGGACCAAAGGGAAATGAAGATATGCAAGCAGCAAAGCGATATTGAAATGCGCCGCCTACCGGCGGTAGACAGATTTAAGCGTTATGGGCGTTAGAGTGGGCGTGGCAAACTATTTTTGGACCAATCGATAGGTATTGACGAGACTAATAAATTTCAGTTAACATTTTTTATCTAGCATGAAAATTGTGGGCTTGGGCGCCTTGTGGGCGTTAAAGTGAGCGTGGCATATTCGCGTAACAAACTTGCGCTGCGTACAAGGCTACGCAATCTAAATCTGAAAACCCAATTATCTATCTTTGAAAGTTTTCGAGATAACCGCGTTCATACTTACGATTTGTTGAAGTCTGTGGGCGGTTTGTGCAGTGTAATCAGAACAAAATCCCATTTACACTTTACAAAATATAAAAAAGCGTGGTCTTAGGGTTATGGGCGTTAGGGTGGGCGTGGCACCCTGCTGAAATAAACTTGCGCCGCGCGAGAAGCTCTAGAAGCTGCATGCCATACCCCAAATTTTTAGCTTATAAAATGTCGTCAGATTTCTACATTAATTAAATTCGAAATCTTAAAATAGTGCTATACTTCAGAAAAGAAGAGAGTGTGATTAAAACAACGAAGCTATAATTGGTCGCGTTAAACAGAACAACATGATCCATGATCAAAAAGTTAACGACCAGGTAAACTTGACGAACTTCATTATGACAACTGCAAGGCTCTATGATTTTCGGCACAGAGTTGAGCTGTCAAGCTGGGTTGTTTTCAGTATTGCATAATCCATTAAGGCTTAAGTGAAACGCAAAGACAGCTGTCATTAAAAGTTCGTGTACTCCTACTTTAAGCGATTGTCCTCCACTTAAAATATTTCCAAAAAATTCTTCTTGTGATTCAGCGGTCTTTAAGTAAGGACATACTCACTTTCATTCGCGGACAGGGCCACAGGACGACGGTTTTATTGAAATCGAGGGCCAGTTGTTCAGCAACCTGATGGCAGTGACCCGAGAAGCTACGGGCGTCGTTCCACCGAGTATCTGAAGTTCCGTCGGATGATGAGGAGGCCCCATCGCCCGCTGACAACTGATTCGCCTTGGAGTCCTGCTGATGATGGCGATGGGGCTCCTGCTCCCGCTTTTGCTGCTGCAAATGCTGCTGACGTGGCTGGCTGGGCGGGTCAACGTCCACATTCGCATACGAACTCCAGGCCCCTGTGCCCCCTTGGACCTTGTTCACATCCACGTTGAGGTCCAAGTTCACGTCGCTGTCTACATTAATGCCCGCATTTAAAGTCCTTACAACGCTCGTGTATTTGGGCAGCTCGAGTAATTTAATGAAGCCACTTAAATCTGTGCGCCGTCGTCGACATCGTCGTCATCATCAGGAAGGGCGAAAAGAAAGAGAAACATTTAATGTGGCGTATAAAAAACTTCTGCATATTTAAGATGACTTGGAGGGGGTTTTCTGCGAGTGTATGTGGGCATGCGCTTAAGCGGTGTAGTAACTGTAACTGCTGATGAAGGCAGCCATGCTCACAGCGCACTCTGTCTGCAACGTTAGCAGTTTACCACTGCCTTCTGGCCAGTGATGAAAAATCTCCAACTTTTTCCGCCCCACAATATTTTTTTTCAATGTAATGTTTTTAGCGATAAAATCAAGTCAGTTTTATCTTAGTACAATTCGTCAATTCAAAATTATGGTTAAATATTTTCAAAATTGAATCAGATAGCACTACCATTATTAGGATAAGCCCAAGGGGTTACAAAAATAATTTATTCAACTCCCAAGAGTCCGAAAAAGTCATTGGAATTATGAGTCATGATAATGAACTTTAAGTTACATTAGCCTTCAACTATAAAATAATTTTACTGTCTCCCACAGATTCACACAGAGAATTATCTACTTTCGCGGTCCCGCAACTTCTTCAGTTAATGATTTTTAGGATTGGTTCTATGGAACTAAACGTTGATTGTTCGTTCGGTCATTTTTATATGTAAAAAGTTAAGATAACAAATGTTGACCTCATACAGGGCTAACGTCTCCAACTCGCAGACATATTTTCAAACCCCTTTTTTTAATTTTTAAGAAAATATTTACATCTTCCTAAACCCATCAAATTCTAATATATATTTGGCTTTAAAAAGACTAAACTGCTATATCTCTTCTGAGGCTGGCCCTTTTGTGGGCTCCAAGTGCCTCTCTGTGGGTTTTGCCATGGCCGCCAACGGCTGCCATTGCAAGTAACTGGCCAAGTATCCGACAAGGGGACAGAGTTATGAGGGCCAGAGATTCTCGGGCCCTTGCACCGAAAGTTCTTGACAGGGGACCAACCGTCCGGGAGTTATTTCTGAGGTATGGTAACTATTAGGAACTTAAGATATCTGGGAGATTTGAAGCCCGTAAAATGCTGCTCATGAGCTGAGTCCTTCTAGCCGGCAGCTTAACAACTTTTCTCGGCGAGTAATGATCTCTGAAAATTAAAACTTTGCCTTACAAACCCTCAACTTATGTTCGTGAATATTTATGCCGAATTAGGTTTGCCCAAGTGATTAGCTATTTAAATAAATTTGGCCTTAGATCGCGATAAGCAGAAAGTTAATTCAGACTCTCGCACTTCCCCTTGAAAAAGTTTTCTACCCTGCGAGCACTTTCTTTATCTGGCTATTTGCCTTATTATTTAACTTGCTTTCTAGCGCTTAGTTCTTTTGAGTTATTTCCAGAGTGAGCTCGGGCATCTACACACGGCCAACTTTGTCGTTTACTTAGTTGGCGCCAGAGTTTTTGCCGATTGCTACAATTTTCTTGTTGTTCGCACAGCGAGTAGGTTAAGTTTGATATCTTTAAGTTACAGGGCTTCTCGAAGGTGGCATTAATAACAGGCAAAACAAGCTGGCTACCACAGCCATTAAAATTGATTTAAGTGCCCGACTAGAAATTGAATATGCAAACCAATATCGTAACTTTTTCTTTCCGTACAAATGAATTTCATTGCCGTAATTTAACATGACTGAAATGGATTCTAGTTGCATGTGGCCGTATGCCATTCGGCTTTCTTCCTTGCCCCAGTTGTAATTTATGTCCGTAGAAAGGTCTGCGAGTTTATTTGCTGACCACCATTGGCAACGGCACAAAAGCGGCTAAAGTGGTCCATATACTGCTTTTTGCCCCAGGACAAATTGAAAAAAGACATTGTCAGGGAAATAGTTGCATAACGTTCTTATTGTACAAAAAAGCTTACAAAGGGCGGTGTGGATTGATTGGATGCCTACACAGGTTGCAGGTTGTGTAAGTTCGAACAAAAGTCTGTGCGTTGCTGTTGCACTCCCCATGCTGTCCAATTATTCTGAAAATTGAAATCCCAGCAGCAACATCTGCTAATCCTTTTAGAGCTCAGGCATGAAACCATTGACTTTCAAAACGTAAGGTTCAAACCGGAAATTGTAGGTTGTCACTAGCAGGGAGCAATGCCCAGCGAAGACAGCTAAAATAAGATGGAACATTTTTCGTAATTAAAGAAATAACTTTTACTGCAAAACTCGCGAAATCTGGATGTCTTTTTTCCGTTTCCCATAGGCAAATAAAAAGGCCGAGGACAGAACGTGCTGAAATTAGTTTAAATTGGCACGAGAAAAATAAGGGCTATTAGTGGAAAAGGGAAAGACAGCGAAAGGAGAAAACGGAATCAAAGCATTATGCATGTAAATTGGGTTTGCAGAGAGTTGAAACCCAACGCCTTCTAAAGTCTGCAAAAGATAAGTCATTTGGAGTGGCTCCTCCAGTCTAGATAACTTCAACTTTAATTCATTCGCTTGATTTGTATTTCCTCACTCAATTAGCAAAGTTTCCCATAACTTCCGCCCTGTTGGCTGCCAGCAAACATTTACCCCCAGCAAACAGCCGGCCAGGCCAATTCATCTTCATAAACTGCCACCTTCAGCCCCCGGCTCATGTGGAATTTTTCAAACGGAAAAAGAGGGAAACTTGAGCATCAGGCACACACAAATCATCGATAAAACACGATGTCTAAATGCATGTTGGCAGGGATTTCCAGGGCTGTGGCAACAAACAAGGCAAACAAGGCTGCTTGGCCTGCCTCTGATGGGTTTGTTTTTCGGCTTGTGTGTACTCACCCACATCACGTAGAAAATCGACGCTGACATCAGATAAATGCAGTTGAAAGAAGTCGAGGAAATTCTGAAAGCCCTGTTGCACATGCGTCATGTCAACGTGCAGCGAAGAAGGTATTAAAACGGCCATTCGTTGACTAAGATGTCGCTCTTGCTGCTGTCGTCTTTGGCGTTGCTGTCCCAGTTGCTGTTGCTGATGCTGATGTTGCTGTTGCTGCTGATGTTGCTGTTGCTGTTGCTGTTGCGTTTGCTGTTGCTGCTGATGTTGCTGTTGCTGTTGCTGCTGATGTTGCTGTTGCTGCTGAAGTTGCTGTTGCTGCTGATGTGGCTGTTGCTGTTGCTTTTGCTGTTGTTGTTGCTGTTGCTGTCCCAGTTGCTGTTGCTGTTGCTGCTGCTGCCTCTGACGTTTCTGACGAGCAGCCTCACGCGCATTACGTGGACTCTGCGTTTGTGTTGCTGTCGGCCAAATTGAATTGCTGTTGCCGCTGAGTGTTGCTGCCGCTGCTGTCGCTGGGGAGGTCCGCGTGGCCGCAACCGATTTTGTAGATGGCGTTGTAGCGAAATCTGTCGCTGTCTTGGCCGCTGACAGGACAAGGACACCCGCCGCTTCTGGCCGGAAGGAGGAGGAGGAGGGAGAGGATGGGGTGGGACTCGAGCCGAAAGCTAAGAAGGCTGCGCGGGGGGAATTGAGAAAGAAGAAGGCTGTCAACAGCAGAAATAATTTAGCAATTTGACAGATTGTTAACTTCATTTATGTTGCGTATTTTGGTAAGGTTTTTTTTTGACGTTGCTGCTGTTGTTACTGCGCTTGTTGTCGGTTTTTCCGGTTCAGTGGAAGCTATTGCTGTTGCCCGTGACCGTTGCCGTAGCCCACTGCAGAGCGGAGTGGGCCCCTTTCAATTCCGCGTCCTGGCCCGATTACATTTTGCGAGCCGTGCTGACGCCGATGGTGAAGCTGCATTTGTTGTTTCTTCCCCAACTATTCCTGTTAATGAACTTTGACGAGGCTTTGTTCGAACTCGCCATAAATGCGCTTGTGTTGCTGGTAGATCGGAGTCGTTGCCTGCGAAAAGAGGGACAGAAATAAATGCATTTCTCATTAAAAGTTTTCAGTCGAAAGACTTAAGTTATATTTTAAATGGGTGTTGTTAAGGTGTTGAGTGTTCATACAAAAAAGTCACTTTGACCAGATGAAAAACAAGAGAAAACGCTGTTGTCGACTCCCTCGACTAAATAACGCCACCTATCGTTCATTTATATCGGCTCTTTACGAAATTTCACCAACACCGCACATAACGTGAAGCCTAGGTGGCGCTAGTGAAATTTCGTAAGCAAACGATTTTCTTTATAAACATATCATCATTCCTCTCGCACTCTATTTCTAATTAAGTTTGGCTATAACTTTTAATGAATGGTCCGATTTAAATAAATTTTGGCATGTAGAATCAACCTATGTGGAGTTAGAGTGGGCGTGGCACCATGCTAAAACAAACTTGCTCTGCACAGGAAGCCCAAGAATCTGCATGCATATTCCTAACATTCTAGCTCATATACTATGTTTATGCTAAGGGTTTCACGATTTCTTGAAAGCGTGAAATAAAACTTGTCCCAGTTTATGCGACGCGGCCGAAATCATGCATTTTATCAATCTCAGCTGGCAGAGATGCCGGACCGGTAGAAAAAGGTACGAGCGATAATTAAAAAAAATTTTTTCGATTCGCATGAAATAATCTTGCTAATATTAAAGATAACGTGTGTGCAAGCCAGTATAACATTTTTTCTACCATCAAAATAAAAGATAAAAACTAGTTTCCATTGGCACTGAATTAAAAAATAATTTGTTAAATGTAAGGTGTATTTATGTATTTATATCGATCTGGCAACTCCGATAGTTATACAGAGTTACCAGAGTTTAATTGTGACCATTTCACGCTTTCATGTTGAATTCATAGTCAACTTTCGTGTGTTGCCGAATTCACGAAATGGCGTTTATGCACACACGAATCGGCTGAAATCGCGAAATGAAAGCGTGAATTCGGCATCGCATAAACACAGTAATAGTTTCCTAGATCTCTGCGTTTATACGGACAGGAGGATAAGGGATGACGAAATCAAAGATTCTATTCTTCCAATTGGGATTCCATGTACTGCTGTGGGCAAAGAGTAATCTAAATTTCGTTTTAAATATTGCTGATTTTTGGGAATAGCCAGTAGACACAAGGAGCCATATCGAACTTTTGGCGAAATAGTCACAAAGAACGAGTGAGCCGGTGCATTATCGGGATGCAACAGCCAAGAGTTGTTGTTGCCCACAATTGTGTTTTTTTTTTGCTTCACGTAAACGACTCATAACGCTCTAAAAATATTTCTTATAAACGCTTTGACCACAACACGAAAATCAAAACAAGGAAGAACGCTATAGTCGAGTACCTCGACTATCAGATACCCGTTACTCAGCTAAAGGGACCAAAGGGAAATGGAGATATGCAAGTAGCAAAGCGAGATTGAAATGCGCCACCTATCGGCAGAAGACAGATTTAAGCGTTATGGGCGTAAGACTGGGCTTGGCAAATTTTTTTTGGATCAATCGATAGGTATTTCCGAGACCAATTCATTTCAGTTTAAGTTTTTTATCTAGCATGAAAATTGTGGGCGTCACAGGCTTAGGCGGCTTGTGGGCGTTAGAGTGGGCGTGGCATGTTCAAGTAACAATCTTGCGCTGCGTACAACGCTACTGATCCTAAATCTGAGATCCCAATTCTCTATCTTTGAAAGTTTCCGAGATATCCACGTTCATATTTACGATTTTTTGAAGTTTGCGGGCTGTTTTTGGGAGTTAAAGTGGGCGATAGGTATTGATGAGAACAATACATTTCTGTCACAATATTTATTCAAGCATCAAAACTGTAGAAGCCACAGCTTTGGGCGGCTTGTGGGCGTTAGAATGGGCGTGGCACGCTGCTGAAACAAACTTGCGCTGCGCAGGAATCTCAGGAACTTGCATGCCTATTCCAACTATTGTACCTTTTGTAGTTTCCGAGATCTCAGCATTCATACGGACAGGCGGACATGGCTAGATCAACTCGGCTAGTGATCCAGATCAAGAATATATATACTTTATGGGGTCGAAAACGCTCTACGAGTAAAGGGTATAACAACTGCACCTTAGCTTTTGACCACAGTAAAATGAAAACCGTAAGGCTTAAATACATCTATTTTTAAAAATTTTGCATTTTAATTTGAGAATGCAATCCTGAAGCGAGAACGATTTATGTTTGATATTGAGAAGAGTCTAATGTCAATAAAGGACTGACTTATGCTCGAATCTGAAAACTATTAATTTCAAAATCGCGACCGATTTGCTGTTGAAACCAAGGAGACTTCATATCTAAATCGAAAACTCACATTCTTAAAAGCCATTCGCAAGCCGAGAAGACCTCGATGTCGAAAGCGAAATGTAAAGAATATATCTTGATATTAGTTTTCCTCTCTTTCCTATGGAAGGCGACAAAAAGGCTTGTACTTTCGATTAAATAAATATACTTTCTAAAATGTTTTTATTCTTCCCGCTTCTGCAAAATATCTAAGTTCTCGCGTACAAAGGCATATTCCATATGACAGTCGTGGCACTCGAGTAAAGCATTCTCTGTAACGCATTCTTTTTTGGTGTACGTGTACTGCCTTCCATTTAAAGTACTTGCAGGAGAACTGAAAAATACGACGTCTGCATAAGTTAGGTCGTAATTTTTGAGCTCCCGCTATAAAATTCAAAAGGGCATAAAATTGATTTGACAAAATAAATATTTTGTAGCTTTGTATATTGTATTCCTTGCTGTGCCGCCCAACTCTTTCTGAATTTGCTTATTTTTATTTTTATTCTCCCTTCCTTTATTTGAAAAGCCACCCGCACTCACGTTAACACACCTTCTACTTTAGAGAATTTTAAAGCGCAAAGTTCAGGCTGAGCAGCGTTTATTCCTGGAGCACCTTTTCTTCCGGCTCAGCCCCCTGCAATTTAATGCTTGATTACCTGCGTAACGCATTCGTGCGGCAATATTTCAATTCATCAACATGAGAGTCTGAACTTTCACTTATATATTAAAAAAAGGTGCCTCGGCTATTAGACACTCTCAGCTAACCCAGTAAATATATAATTATTGTCGGCCGATGGAGATAAAGGACGGGCAAAACAAGGTGACACCGAATTTTAGGCTTCTGTAAATGTGAACAAAATTCGGCGTGGCCGCCTTTTAGTATTGATGGCTGGCAAATCTATTTTACAAAATATACAAGTATTGGACGGTCGGTTTTACTTGTTACATACTTTTCAACGAATACAATATACCCTTCTACTATGTAAGCCCGTATTCCTTTCACGGGAAAAAAAAGTGCTTCGTTGGGGCCTACACCTTCTGGCAGGTTTAGAGCATTGTCATCCGATTGTCCGGAAATGATTGATGCTCCATTTTTGTGTCATTGGGCCAAAATAAATAATCTCTGGGCGATTTTTATAAATGATGGATTATGTTTGGTGTGTTTGGACTATGTGGGTATGGCAGGATTAAAATATTGCCCCTCTTAATTAGTGACTTTAGGACAAATTGAACTCTATATTTATAATACTAGCATTAGACTTGGCGGATATTAAAGGAATATAAATCGTTTAGGGATTTTATATATATGAGATTGAACCTGGGCATTTCCACAAGTCGCGAACGAACGTTCGTACGCACTTAGTGCAAATAAAAAAAAAAAAAAAACGTTTTCTGATTTTTTTTTTGCTGTACGATAGCAGTTTGTTAGATCTTTGCGTAATGTAAATGATAGGGTTTATTGAGCTATCATTTTCATAATATTGGCTAAAAAAATGCGGTCGCGAACGAACGCAAAATGGAAGTCGACTTCGGCTTAATCTAGTAAAATGCAAAAATCTGCGAGTTGGGCCGGAATATTCAAAAGCAATTTCTTTACTTTCAAAATGGATTCATGTAGCTTTCTATTGAGTCTGTTCCCAAGGAAATATCTCCATTTGTTTTTCTATTGAATTAGGTACCGGTCGCGAACGAACGATTTTTCCATGTAGTTTTATTAACAGTTAATTAAACATTTCTTATCTTAAGTTAAGTGTGTAAATTTTAGAGTGGGCCTGGCAACCTGCTGAAGCAAGGTTCAAACTGTCAGTATATTTAACTTTTGTTTCGACGAAATACTTATGCCGACTAGTGTAATTATTCTAAACGAAACAAAATACCATTTACACTTTTGTGCTGAGTAGGAATCTCTAGAATCTGCATGCTAAGACCCAATTTTGTAGCTTTAAGAGTTTCCGAGATCTTAGCGTTCATACCGACAGACGGACGGACTGACGATCTGATAAAAAATATATACAGTTTTTATGGTCGGAAATGTTTCCTTCTACCTATTACCAACTATCGGACGAATCTAGTATAACTGTGCGAACAAATTAGTTTAAATATTACTGTTAGGTAGATTTATATTTGTACATTTAAGCACCGTAGCCAAACGCTTTAGTAATAATTTGACCGAAGCGAATCATTGTATTTCTTTTTCGAATAGGTAAATAAATATTATTAATTCGAACACCGGTAACAGGGATGATGATGCTCTACGCTGTGCTCCTCTGTGGTATGTTAAAACAGGTTTTGATTTGGTTAGAAGACCTAACATTACTATATCTCCAATTATCCTGCTTAAAAGGGCTCTTAATGTGGACACTCCTGTTCTCGGTCATGGGCTTGCTTGCGAGCAGTGAACTCAGGCTAAAATTCCGCATCTTTCATGAAGTTGCTGTTCAGGCTCACAACAAAACCGTAGACCCGATCGCAGTTGCCCAGTTAGCTGAGGCAAAGAAGAGGATATTGGAGGCCGAGCGAAGTCCTCACATGATGCCGATGAACCGCCTCCAAACGAATCTTTTGGAGATCTGCGATATGATCAAGAGAAATCCCTGTGAGATCTGGCAACCAGACAGTTGCCCCTCCTGGAGGCCGGGTTGTTACAACCGCCCTCCTGCAAAAATATGCCCTCCCTGGATACCGAGCTGCAAAGTACCCATTCCGCCAAAGACGTGTTGGTATAAGCCAGGTCAGTCCTGTCCGCCGCCTTTGGGTGCATATTGCCACGGAAGTGGTTGGTGTCAACCAGGCAGCAAATGCCCCAGTGTTCCATCGACACTGCCAGATCAAAAAACTACGAAAACGGCAAGCACATCGAAAACTCAAACTTCAAAAAGCTTGATTACAACTAATCCAATAACAACAACTTCCACAACAACGGGCCCAACAACCAAAACAACTACAACTACTACTACTACTACAAAAACAAAACGAAGTTCAAGCACTTCCACTTCAAAGCATAAAATACAATATACCACTGTTTCCCTAACAACTTCATCCGAACCAAACGAATGCGGAAGACCAGGAGCCCCAGGGGGACCCTATGGTCCAGGCGGTCCTATGGGTCCTGGAGGGCCTGGCGGTCCTGCAGGTCCTGGTGGTCCGGGGGGGCCTGGTGGACCGGGAGGACCCGGCATGCCTTGGGGTCCAGGAGGACCAGGAGGGCCTGGTGGTCCAAACGGACCAGGAGGACCTGGTGGTCCCGGAGGGCCTAGCGGGCCGGGAGGTCCAGGAGGACCATGCGGTCCAGGATGTGAAAAAATCATAGGAAAAAGGACACCTCGAAGGCGAAAATGTTGTACAAAAACTAAGCATGCATTTCGTCGATCACGAATACATTTTAACCACTCACAGAGAGCTCACTTACCAGTTGGTCCACTTGCAGAAGAACATTTTACTAAGGATCCTTTAAATGACAGTGGAAGCAGCAAAAATATTCGCCAAAATGGCACTTTACTGCAAGTAAAAAAGACTTTAAAGTCGGACAGCCCCAATCGGAACGATGAACTATGGAGATCTGCTCATAAAAGGATTTCCGTTTTCGATGCAACATCACGCAAAATAAATAGAAATATGCATCTATTTAGAAGTGAAACTCAAGAGAACTGCATCGTTGCACATGTCCTTAAATCGTTCAATGAGGAAGAGAAAAAAAAGTTAGGTTAAAATGAAGATGGCATTTAATAACAAATAAAAAGCTCGTTTTTTGTGGCAAGGTGAGAAAAATAAGGAACGATAGCTATAATCAATTACCCCTATTGTTTTGCAGATGGGCAGCATAATGATAGCAAAAAATCTATCATTGCCTGATTTCAGCAACAAAGTGTGCAGTGAGCATGGACATTCCCCCGTAGAAGTTTTAAAAACTGTACGAAATGAGAAAATATGGTATTTTGCAAACTGGGCGTCGGGTACGTATCATCGGGACAATCATTAGAAAGGATTGCAAGGTTCGCGTGGTTGTTACACAGACAGTCGAGGAGTTTCTCGTCGCCAAGCTTGCAAAATACTACCCTTTCTTATTTCGGGCAGTTTATAAAACGTATATAAGGCAGAATGTCCAAGTCGTATAATTGTCGCCCACATCCACATTGTCGCTGAAATCAGACAATGATCGATCACTCTTCTCTTCTTAAAACTCATTACAAGCAATTCTCTTATAACGCACACGACGTTCATTCAATTTTGAAAGCATGTTTCAAGTCTTTTTACAGCCGTTAGTCGTAGAGCTGAAAAGTATGTTACAGGTTAAAGGAAGCGATACCGACCCTATAAACTAAACATATATTTGATCAGGATCAATAGCCGGGACGATAAAGTGTTCTGACTTTCTGGTGGAAGTGCCCATTTCCGTATATCATTATATATATTACACATTAACCACTTAGCCGCTGTAAGCAGACAATTGTCTACTTTATGCAATCAACCTATCTGAAAAACTTTTAGTAACGTTCTTGAAGTCAATTTTTACCTTATCTTTACAAACAAAAGTTTCGCCTACAGTAAATAATTGAGGTGTAATATGACGAGTAGGTTAAGGTGACGAAATCGTCAAGTCACACACATGACGTCACGTCAAAAATTTTAAGTAAATGTAATCGACTAAGAGGAAAGAGCAAATATTAACAGATTTGTGATAAACCAACTCAGGTAAATACAAGTATTAATTATATCTCTAGCAACATGTGTTGGTACTTCGTTTTTTTTTCAACAGTACCTTGTAGGGTATCGTGACGAATGTTTTGATATGGTGATATGGTGACGAACTTTGTTCTTTCAAGAATTACAATTGATATACCCCTTACTTGTAGAGTAAAAGGGTATTTCAGATTCGTCGAAAAGTTTACAACTGGTAAAAGAAGCGTTTACGATCCTGCAAAGTATATATATTCTTGATTAGAATCACTAGCAGAGTCGATCTAGCCATGTCCGTATGTCCGTATGAAAGCTCAGACAAAAAAATGTGGGCGCTAGGCGGGTTTAAGTGTTAGCTTTAGAGTGGTCGTGGCACCCTACTGAATCAAACTTGCGCTGCGAAGAAAGCCCAAGGATCCAACATTCTAGCTCTAATAGTTTCAGAGGTCTCAGCGTTCATACGGACGGACAAACAGGAGGACATGGCTAGATCGACTCGTCCGACTAGTCTAATATAACTCTACGAGTAACGAGTATTGTAAACTTCCGCGCGAGAGTCCAATCTTCTACCCTATAGAACCAATTAGGGGATCGCGGCAAAACCAAAGACTACTTCTAAGGGCATGAGCGATTTGTTCTTAGATTTCTTTAGCATCTGGTCTTTATGACATGTGGACTTATATTATGGTAATTATTGGCAATAAAATGTAGTCCACTACTACCTCAAAAGTTGGAAAATAGTCCACATATTGTAAATTTTTGGTAATCAACCACATAAATCTAAATATTTGTCAATTTATAATTTTTAAAAAATAGTCATTTTTTCTGTGTGCACTAAAGGCCCTTCACTTGACCCTTTAACCCGCTTTTTTATGAAGAGGAGCACTCGTAGTGTAATCCAACAGAAATGAAAAACCATTCAGCCCATCGAGGGAACGAACTAAAGTTAAAGTATTTGCAACGACAAAATTGCTTTTAATTTTATGGGATTCTAGGAGAAGTGTAATAAAGCTGCAAATTGTAGTGGACAACCCCTACTTAAGGTGGGTGGTAAAAGGGTTTTCATGGGATGAAAATGGGTCGGATGGGAGCAAATAATAAACAACAACAGCAGCAGCAATAAACAACATTGACGACGCAGCGGTGGCCACATTGCTGTGCGTTTATATAAATAAATGTATTAAAAACTTTCAAGGATGTATAAAAATGGAGAGGGCGGCTCAGTCGCTTGTACAACAAAAATGAGCTTTAATTTCATAGCTGACATATCTTGCGGGAAGGCGATTCCTTTCTCCTCCGAACGCCTCATTAGTCCCCGACACTTTCCCTCATCTTGGCCGCGTTTACGTTTACTTTTGTTTTATTTTATTTCAGTTTTGTTTTCTTCTCTACCCACTTCTGTTTTGTCTCTTTTTGTTCTGCTATTGAGCTTGTATTGCTGGGTCCTTTCTTGAGGGCAATATAATTACGGAATACCCCCATACAGACTCCTTATGAAGGGTTTTGCGTATGGGTTATTTTTGGTTGACGGCTTTTGGTGTCTATGGTGCGTATACGCAATGCTGTACACTCGGTCGCCTGGCATCATCATCCTTGGAAATTTATAACCACTTGTATCCCCGGTTATTTACATACATATTGACACAGGCCAAACGGCAGTTAGTGCGGTAACTGTGTGCGACTGTGAGTATCTGAAGCATCCCTCAACGCACACTTAGGCATTGGGCCGTGACTTGAGGTCGTAGTTCGGCGTAGAATCGTGGACGTCTCCGTCGCCGAACTAACAATCTGCGGAGGGCATTGGGCAGGCCGAGTAGCACGGGGTACGGGGAGTAGCACTTAGGACCAACACTCAGAGCCTCATCCGCAGCAACGTACATATTTCAGGAGGGCCTTTAGGTGTCTGGGGTGTGTTTGCGTTATTTATCATATGCTCTGGGTTATGAACGTCTTCTGTTAGTCCTACACTGAAACACGATATGGGACGTTTATACTACGTTGAAAAATCATAGTGTTCATTCTTTGATAGGAGAGTGTTGACTTTCGTTATAAATGGTGAAACCGATTTTCAAAGTTTAAAATTGTAGATCTCAGATTATAAAAATTGTATTCTGTTTCTATATTTTTTATATTTTTCAATTGGGGGCTCATTTAACTATTTGTACATTTGTTGGTACTTATTTAATTAAAAAAGTTGAACAAAATAAAACTATTTTAATGCCTGAAATGCATTAGGCTGTATACTTTTCCTAACATTTGTATAAAAAGTCTTTACAAATTCATGTATAACCAAACTCTTTATTGGGCATACGATGTCAGATACTTACCCCATCTGCCGAATTTTTTTTTTAGTTTTGCCATTAAAATATTATTTTATTGTGGTCTGAACCACTGAATTTTATTTTTGGTCTTGATATACCCTTAAAAAGATTTCACACATTTTCATGCAGTTTCTTTTCGCCACACACGCCGGTCCCATCCAACTTCTCTGTTTACTATTTTTGTTTTTTCGTTAGTTTTTGTGGCTGCTCGTTGAAGTATATTTATGTGAACCATGTCAGTGAGTGTAATAACTCAATTATGTGGTTACCCTGGTTACAGCGACAAGCGTTACATCCCATTCTCAATCTCCTGGGGCTGTCTTTGTTCTGAGTGTTTTATCTCTTGGGTGTCCCATCTGAGGGGCCACGGCTTTGCCCCCAGTCACACTTAACTATTTACTTTTTTTGACAAATATATGTTTTTGGTATCTATTTTTTAGGCATAATTTTGCAAAACGTGAACTGTCGTGGAACATGGCCTTTAATCACCCATGCATAACATATAGCTCATGAAAAATACATGTCCTCTTAGGATTTTAGGGCACTCATTTTAATTCAAATTGTTGTTGACGCTGTTTCCCCAAAGAGTTTGACGCGTTAAGTGCGGCTAACCAAACTGTCGCTGCCACCGGAAACGTTTTCCGCCTTGATTGCGGTAAAAGGAAGCTGGATATAGGCTTTTTGCTCGGTTCTGGCTTTGGTTTGGGTCTGAGTCGAGGTCTTGAGCTTTCAATTGGACTGTTCAACGATCCAACTCGGGGCACTGGTTAATGGAAAGAAAACATCGCTTTCAACTGCCCCCTCTTTGCTTTAATAGCTGGACAGAAGTCTTTAAAGGAATGTCGGCGACAACCTTTAATATAAAAACATTTTTGAAGACTCTTTGACTTAATTTTGATACAAACGGTGAGTTTTTTGGGTGCTAGCAAATATTAAAGTTATGAGCTAGCAGTGATGTTTAGCTATGGCGGCTAGGGCTTTAACAAGTGAATTAATTTACATAATAGCTTAGTAATATAAAAGGCTGATTTTTTATATTTGGATACAAGCATTTTACGTTACCAGTTATACAATTATCCGAGTAAAACTCTTTGAGTTACACAGATCAACACGGAAAAGTAACAGTAAAATTATCGACTAAGCGTGGCAATCGCAAAGTAATTGGATAATTCAGTGACTTACAGATATGTTGTAAAACTCGATTTATAAGAGTTACATTTTTTAAAGCGATTCTGATGACATCTTACCCAAAAACATAGAGAAGGAATAAGGAATATAAATAATTTGCCTTAGAACATCGGAAATCGGTCACCCCCTTTTATTATACCGTTACTCGTAGAGTAAAAGGGTATACTAGATTCGTCGGAAAGTATGTAACAGGCAGAAGGAAGCGTTTCCGACCCCATAAAGTATATATATTCTTGATCAGGATCACTAGCCGAGTCGATCTAGCCATGTCCGTCTGTCCGTCTGTCCGTCTGTCCGTCTGTCCGTCTGTCCGTCTGTCCGTCTGTCCGGATGAACGCTGAGATCTCGGAAACTATGGGAGCTAGGCTATTGAGATTTGGCGTGCAGATTCCTGAGCTTCCTACGCAGCGCAAGTTTGTTTCAGTAGACTGCCACGCCCACTCTAACGCCCACAAACCGCCCAAAACTGTGGCTCCTACAGTTTTGATGCTAGATAGAAAATTTTAACTGAAATGTAATGTTCTCAT